GGTGTTCCAATTTATGTAATAGTCTTCGTTTTGGAACTCGATCAAAAGCTTTAGCAAAATCGAGGTAATTAATGTCTATCGGGGCTTTCTTGACCATTCATTGACACACCAGAGAAGATTTGTCATTGTAGAATGTCCTTTGACAAAACCATGCTGCTGTTCTGGTATAACCACTTCATTTTGCAGAAAATCAGAAATTATCTCGGCAATAATAGATTCCATTATCTAAGATATTATAGGTGTTAAGCTGATAGGACGATAGTTATTAGGATCCAATTTGTTCCCTTTCTTAAAAATCGGTGTTACAGATGCGGTTTTCCATATAGGAGGCACAATATGTGTGGTGAATGATAAGGACATAATCACATATAGTGGGTATGCAAAAGCATCAGAACATTTTTTTTTAAATAAAGAAGATATTAAGCCGAGACCAGGAGATGAATTATTTTTTAGGCTTTGAAGATGATGTTTAACTTTTTCAGGAGTAATGATTATATTTTCAAGAGAAGAAGAAACTCGTGACGAAGTAATATTAGGCAACTGATGATTAGTGGGTTTGACAGAGAAAACCTTAGAGAAAGTACTGGCGAGGACTTCAGCATTCTCATAGTATTTCTTTTATACTTGATCATATATATTAATTCCCCATTAATCCAAGGTTTTATGTTATTTTTGTACATGGTTTTTTTTAAGGTATTTTGAGTTTTGCAGAAATTAACAACGTGTAAGAACTTATCCCAGAATACAACTGGATTCCTTATGTCGCCGAAAACATCATTCCAATCAATATCAGCCAGTTGGCGATTTGCATTTTCAAAATCAATTATTTCATATACTTCATATATATTTCATATAATTTAAATCTGTAAATACATTTTTGGAAGTTGTTAAGCCACTAGGTGGATCAGTTATAGACCACGAAATGTCTCTAAAATCACAGTCTCCAATAACAATCAGATTCTCTAGCCTAGACCGTTCATCAAGTGATGTGATAAGGGATTCATCATCTGCTAATCTAGAATCACCAGGCCGATAAACACATACTAGGTGAAAAACAAAAGAGTTTTTAGGACATATTTTTAAAACAAGAAGTTCCATATTAGAGATGTAACAGAGAAATTATTAGTAATTTCTGAAGACAAGTAGATACAAGTTCATCCTCCATGTCGATTACGACGATCACACCTATAAAGGGAATAATTATCAACCCAATTAAGCCAATTATGAAAACCTGAAATATCAGAATTAGTGACGAAAGTTTACAATTTAGCACAGTTCAATAACTAATTAATTGCCAAAATGTCATGTAGTTATATTACATATTATGCAAAAAAAAACAAAGTTATTAACAATTATATATTACTGCAAAAATAAGGGGTTTTGCAATTATCTGGGCCAATTTTTTATGTATTTTAATTTTGAAACACAAATTAAAGAACTTTTTAAAATCTACAACTTTTATTTGAGCCATTTTTCTCTAAAACGTATATGAAACGTTTTATAGGTAAAAAAATGTTCTTTTCACTTTTAGATTGTTAAAAAAGCCAAGCAAAATCAGCTGTACATCTTCAAGGATTTTTCGTCAGCTATCTCTCATATACCTTTTAAAAAATGAAAAATATAACATATAAGAAGTCTTACCTCACATCTCAGTTGTAACTCCTTCATCACAGCTAATGTATGGATTACATCACCAAAATTTGCTTTTTTGTTAATAGTATGAGATAGTTGCTTGTCAACTTCAAATCTCAAAAGTGTGAAGGCTAACACTGATGGTCTGAAAAATGCACAGCTGCTGTCAGTCAGCAGAACTCCCAGCTTGGTTAACAACTCTTCTTCATCCAGAATTTCACTGAAACGTAAACACCACTTAAAAAAAAACAAACTTTACATATTAAAGAATTTTTTAAGAGTTCGTATTTATTTGGACTACAGACTCAGAGAACTATGAACAGCTGTACATTCAATTTTCTTTCAATTGTGCATTGTCCAAAAATTATCAAATTTTCCAACTATGCTGGGCTTATAGCTCAACTGTTAGCTGAGTAAATGCAATCATTCCTTTTTCAGAATGTATAAATTTAATGTCAATAATTTAATTAAATAATTAAGTTACAAATCTTTTACAAAAACTATCAGTCTTATAATTTTTACCTTACTGTTGAGTGACAGCTTCTTAAAAACTTGATATACAGTCTAAGAATATCTCCAATAGTAGTGATTTTGGACCCTAATTGGAGCTTGTTTGTAACAACATCCACCATTCTTAGTACATCTTGGAAAGTAAAATTGCACCTAGCCATGTAGATCAGAGTGCTTAAAGGAATGTCAAGTTGATCTTCACGGGCAGCTATGAAGAAACAAGCAAATGCAAGACACTTCAAGTATTTTTCTGGCACCTAAAAAAAAAAAAATCAGCTAGAGATTATAACCTTTACCTGGTGTTCTATGTATATTAATCCCGCTAGAGAAATGGTCTGCTTCTGGCTTTAGCGCCTCTGCCCACCGCGAGCTCCTGGTTTTTTCCTCAGACCCGTAACTTGAGTAAACCAGTTCCAAATCACAGTATTCTCATATCCGAACCTCAAACTCCTTCCCTATATGTCCTGAATGTGTTTGTTTCGGTTTTCTCTATGATAGTTTACCACAATTTGACCAAAAAAAGTAATAATAAAACTTTTGTGACTGGAACAAAAGGTCAATTTTTCAACAGTTTTTTCAAATGTCCGCCATTTTGTTATTTTAATTTTAAATTTCTTTGGTAAACTATCAAGTAAGGGCACTTCCTTTTTAAAACCCTTCTCGAATTTTATATTTCAGATCTGCCGTTCCATAAATTAACTGTCCGTCATGGAGTAATAATTTTTAGACATTAATAATTTTAAACAATTTTTGGCGCCATCTTTAAAATACAGGAACAATAAAAAAAAGTTTGAGTATCATTATAATAGATAAGATACAAAAAAATTGTTAAATATGTAGGAAGGCAGTTAAATTAGGGAGTAATAACTGATTTTAAATAAAGTCCCATCAGGTGTGCTGCAAGGCCCTGTTTTATATTGCTTGTCTATGGTCGATTTAGTACAAAAAATTAAAAATTATATTTGTTTGTTGACGATCTACAACTGTTTAGAAAAATTCAATCCTGGAATGATGCTGTTCTATTGCAGGAGGATCTTAAATCATTTTATGATTGGTGCAGTTTAAACAAAATGTCGCTTAGATAAACAAATGTCATAAATTGACATTTTCGAGGCAAAGAAAACCAATTACTTTTGTTTACTTTATAAATAACTTGCCATTGGCCTCTAAAAATGAAGTATCAGACTTGGGAATCTGGTTAGACACCAAACTGCAAATTTGCAAGCCACATCAATTAAGTAACGAAGAGGGCGATGAAAGTACTGGAAATTATCCAACGCACATCTGTATGTCTTTCTTCACATTATGAGACTTTATTGTGGTCTTGTCATGTCCATTCTAGAGTACAGTAATCTCTCTTTAAGCGCTGGGGTTGCGTTTTAGAAGAGAAAGGCGCAGTTGGTGAAACCGTGGTTGGCGAGGGATCCACGATCCAAAGGAGAACATGGAATATAATCGAAATTAGGATACATAAGTATAATAGTACATATTATGTAAATATTTGACGAAATAATAAAGTAAGTAGTTAGATAGTTATATTAAATAAATATATACCTATTGTGTTCACATTACGACTATAAAATGCTTTAAAAACTACATTTTTTTTAATAGACAGGATAGTTGGCTGCTTCATTTTCTTTATATTTCTTTTGCACTTCTTTGTACGGTGTCAATAAGCCTGTTAAGCCATTCTTGAAACTCCTTTCCATATAAGGATCCATTTCAAACACTATATCCTGAAGTTTTTGCTCGATAATATCGTATTTATGTTGTTTTAAGTGAGACTTGAATGCCGTCTCGACTGTTACTTCTTGGGAGTTATCGTCTTCATCACCTACTGTATTATTTTCCAGTATTTCGAGAAGGTCTTGTTCTGTAAGTTCACGGTTATTGGCGGCTAGAACTTATTCAACATTACCTGACTGCAGATTTTCAAAACCTCTCCCATAATATTTTGATCATTAGCATTGACTTCCTCTGTTTCATGGGGTACTGCTGAGGTTACCATAACAACTGAGGCCATAGCTTTTTATAATTGATGGGCGTATTGATCATCAGTGGCTTCTTGGATAGTAGTTACACAGTGAGAAATATAAAATTGTCTGCAACTATGGTTAACAGTTAATAAAGGATATAGTTCCATACAGACGAAGATAAGGCTGAATGTACGCCTTAGGTAATACCATTTAAATACAGCTATTATTCACTGATCCAAAGGCTGTTAAAGCGAAGGGGTGTCTGTAGGTAGAAAGTTAATTCCTACATTTGAATCAATTAAAATCGAGGATTCTGGATGTCCAGGAGCATTGTCAACAAGAAGTGCTTTAAACAGTAGCGATTTTAATGTTAAATATTGCTTAAGGATTGGTACAAAATTAGCAAACCAGTTCGTAAACAATGTTGTTATATCCCAAACTTTTTGATTTGCCCTCTAAAATACTGGTAGTTCGTTTTTATTTTTATGTATAAGATGCCGTGGATTTAGAGACTTAATAAATCAGTATTGTTTTTACCATATGATCACCTGACACGTTACAACAAAATAAAACAGTTAACCTGTCCTTTGCTGCTTTAAAGCCTGGACAGATTTCTCATTTTCCGATATGAAGGTAAAAGCAGGCATTCTTTTCCAAAAACGGCAGTTTTGTCGGCGTTAAATATGTTCCGGCTCATATCTCTCCCTTTCTATGAGTTTCTTAAGTTTAGCTCGATACTGGTTTGCCGCGTCTTCGTCTGCCGAGGCTGATTATCCCTCGATTTTGAGGCTACGTAAAGATACTCTTTTTTTAAATCTTTCAAACCATCTGTTAATCATCATCATTGGCTCCACAACGTATGGTGGGTCAGGAAAAGTCAAGTCAAGTCAAAGTCAAGTTTTCCTCCACCTGATCCTTATATTGTGCTCTGGATCTGCCTCTCCTTCTCACGCCATCTATTCTTTGATTATAAATATGTTTTGGCGGCTCCATCTCATTCATTCTCTCTATGTGACCTAACCACCGCAGCCGGTTTATTTTGATGGACCTAATAATATCCAAATATTTTTTCTTGGAAGATGGCTTGAAGGAGACCAGATCTGGAGTCATTTCGCATATGTCCGAATAATTGCAACTTTCGAGATTTAATGGTGGTCAGTACCTCTCTGTTCTTATTCATTCTTCTGAGGACCTCCTCATTTGTGACTCGGTCAGTCCACGGGATCTTAAGTATTCTCCGATATAACCACATCTCAAATGCTTCCAGTTTTTGCATACATCTTCCTTCAAGGTCCACGATTCAACACCATAAAAAAGGGCAGAGAAGATGTAGCATCGCAGCATTCTTACTGTTGTATCAAGACAGAGGTTGTAACTCTTGAAGATGGCCCCCATCCGATTGAAGGTGGATCTAGCTTTTCCGATGCGTGCTCTAATCTCCTGGTTGTTGGTCCATTCTTCATTTATTATGGTGCCGAGGTAGTTGTAGTGCGTCACTCTTTCTACAGGAGATTGGTTGACGTAGAGTTGACCTTCTGTTATCCTTTTCTTGCTAATTATCATAAGCTTTATCTTCTTAATGTTTATATATTGAGTCCATATTGTTGACTGTAATAAGTGATTTTGTTCATAAGAACTTGTAGGTCTTCTAAGTTGTCCGCAAATACTATGATGTCATCTGCATATCTTATGTTGTTTAGCCGGTAACCATTCAGTAGAATACCTTTTTCAGTTTCGTGCAAAGCTTCGATAAATATTCTTTTAGAGTACAGATTGAAGATTAGAGGAGACAAAATACAGGAAATCACGCATGGAAAATCCACGCATGATTTTCACATAGTCAGTATGTTCACCTTTAACTGTGAGATTTGCTGTCTGATTCCAGTAAAGATTTCTAATTATTTTCAGATTTTGGTTCTTTCTTAATCATTTGCCTCTTCTTCTAGTTCAAAGGTGTTATCTCTTTGGTCTTCAAATAGTTTTTTCTAGATATTCTTTCCACACCCTTATTTTACTCTGTTTGTCCAAGATGATATTTCCGTCAGAATGAGTTATATTTCCTTTCTGTTTCGTCTTAGTCCTCCTGTGAGTTCTTTAACTTTCCTATGTACATTGTGACTATTGTACTTTGACCGCAGAGTCTCAATTTCTTCGCATATTTCCCTTGCTTCTTTGTCTTTCGCACTATTTCTGTAATTTGTTTGATCGTTTGTTCTTCGTTCGATTCGTCTCTAATTGCAGTCACTTGCTCGTTTAACGTGGATTGGACTCTCATCTTCGTATCAAGGTCTTTCAGCATGCGTAGGTCGTATGATTGTGTTTTTCTTTGTACTGTTTTGAGTTTGACTCGAAATACTCCCACCAGTGGGAGGATGTACTCACTATGTTGGTATATGTTTTATTTTGTATATTTTATTCTATATTATGTGCATTAATGTATTTTCATATATGTATTTGTTATATATTATATTTTTTACTTTACAATGTATATGTCATAATTGACATGCTACAAACAAATGTAATTTGTAAACATACTCAAATAAATCTTGAATCAGTAGAACATGGTCTGTCTCCAAGTCTGCTCCAGGATAAGTCTTGACAGATGTAAAGCTGTTTCGGAATCTTTTATTTACTAAAATGTAGTCTATTTGATTCCTAATAATTCTCCCGGGTTTGTCTTGAGGGGATTTCCATGTGTACAGCTTGCGAGGTGGTAATTGGAAGAATGTGTTGGTGACAACTAGTTCTGAGTCTTCTGCGAATTTTTCTAAGAGGTCTCCTCTCTCGTTTCTGACTGAAAGTGATTTGCGGTAATTTAACATCACATTTTCTATAACGTTCTAATCCATTGGTTGTATACAGGCCGTGGTGCCGTGGTGTTAGATGGCAGGAACATTGTAACAATTTTGCTGTCTTCAGAGATAAGTTCATCTGCTGATGGATGCCCAGGACTAGTATCTAGCAATAAAAGTGCCTGAGGAGGCACATTAAGACACATGAGATGGCGATGGACGTCGGGAAAAAATTACGTTTTAAACCACTCATGAAATAAGTCTTTCGTAACCAAACTTCTTTTGTGCACGATAACAAACAGGAAGACATATTGATTTAAATGTCCCTGGGTTTTTGTATGTTTAGACAAAAAGCAATTGAAGTTTATGGGTTCCAGCTGCATGAATATCACTCTCATTTTCATAATTTTCCTTCCGGAAGCCGACTTCTTATTGGCAGACACCAAAGTATGATCGGGCAATAATCGCCAGTACAAACCAGATTCGTCAGCATTTTACACTTATTCCGCTGTTATTCCGTGGCGTTTTTAAAATTTGTCTAGCATCTCCGGTTTGCATTAAACTCGATATTGGAGTTTGTCATCTGACGATGAAAAACATGAGCTTTCTCACAAATCACATCACCACTTACAGGAATATGCAATCGTCTTTGTTGCAAAAACCACGTAAACAAAGCATATTTTAAAACGGGATTTTCAGAGTTCTTCAGTGTTTTTGTACACCGGCACCACGTTATGTTAGGCTTACAAACTTTGCAAGCCTACAAGATTTTGTCTTTGTTTTTCTTTATATCGCCCACAGTTGACTAGCCTATACTAAACCTGGCAATGGTAGGGTAGCTATTACCTTTATCTAATATTTCTATAACCCGCAACTTATCATTTATTATTAATGTTGAATGCTTATATCGCGGAGCCATAATGTTACTGAGCGCGCTAAATTGACACTGTACCAAGACGAGAGGAGATAAACAAAAGACTGACGGCAGCCTCCGCACCTACACCCACCCGCGCGCGAACACCATTACCCGGCCGGATTACAGAGATCACCGAACAAGGAGTCCGGATGTTTGACTCCGGATGTTTATTAAAAAAAAAAAAAAAAAAAAAATATCTTACAATAAGTGATCTCTTTTACTTTACTGATGTCAGTACTAATATGCTCTTGATAGCTGTATTAAAGTTTATTGTTCAGAGATGTTTGATATTTTAAAAATTTATTGTTCTTAAGGTGTAGATTTTTTAGCATTCTAGATGGTAATAGTACCTTAAGAGAACATAAAGATCTCCATACACATACAGTTTCATTTCTATAGTCTTTTTAACTCCTGATATTTTATTTTTGGACAAAACATTTTGTACTTAAGCCAAAAGTCATCACTCTGTACCAACAAACTTTACTGTAAGAATTCCAAATTTGAGAAAACCACTAATGCTATGCCCTCTGGACAAGCAGCTGTAGATCTAAAGAGGATTAAGAAAATATTACATATTATAAAATGTAAGATTATGTGCAGTCATTAATTACAGCTCTCCCTAATTTTCTCTATTGTCCATTTTCTGTCACCTATTTTTGATTTTGCTACATTTCTTTTTTATTTTTCCTGATATTTCATTTTGTGTTCAGAAATTACCCCTGGTCAGGGGGCGGATACACAGGGGAAAAAAGAGATACCCAAAATTAAAGAAATCCTATTATTTATGACTTTTATATAGTTTGGGTTTAACTTTTTTGTCTTTTGGTTGGTGTTTCACTGGAAGTTCTCCCCTTACCCCCTCCAAGTTGGAAGTTACCAACCCAAGACAAATAATGTCTAGATCCACCACTGCCCCAGGTAGATATAATTACAATTTTTAAGATATGCACTTGTGCTGGTTGAATTTTAAACTGAGTAAGTTCCTTAATGGTTAGAATATTCTATACAACTTTGATGTAGTTATAAAAATTTCATCCCATTTCTTGTCATTAGAAATACTAGCACCATACTGTCATCCGCTGCATTGCAACTGGTTACAATTTTTAGTGGTGATAATATTAGGCACCATTGTGTATAGAAACTATTTTACCTTTAAGAGTACCCAATCAGGAACAATAATTCACCTTTACTCCAGTATCTTGTGATCTGATGCAAAAATTGTTATATACAATCAGCTTTTCCATGGATGCATTGAATATGGTTGTCTTACTTGCACCACAGGAAACAGAGCGTCAAGTAGCCAAAAGAAGCTCTGATTTTCTGAACATTTTGTCAGGACTAAGTAGAGGAAGTATTAAAGGACGCTAAAGAAATTGTGTCAAATGTGTTTAATGGATTATGCGAAGAATTGGAATGGCACGAGAGTGTTTTAAAACCTGTGACTTTAACAAAAGTTTTATGTTCTACTGTGTATAGAATTATAAAGGAGGGCATTACAAATAGAGAAAAAAGGAGCGACTTTGGACTACATAGATCTATTGATCAACATCTTTTAGGTCCCATTTCAGAAACCAATTATAATGTTTGCAGGTAATATTATACCCACACTTAACCAAATTTTAGCTGAATTATAATCTAAAAACATTATTAATTGCTGTAAATCAACTTTAAGAAAATTTTTACTATCAAATGGTTTTGAATATAAAACAATCAATAAACGACATACTATAATGGAAAGTGCTCGTTTAATAAAATGGCGTAATGAATATTTGGAAAAGATTACTGACTACAGAAATAGCAGAAGAAAAATTTATTACTTAGATGAAACATGGTTTGACACTAAAGAAACAATTGGCAAAGGTTGGAGTAATGACAATGTAAAGTGCAAAGTTAATGTACCAGCTTCCAGGGGAAAACAAATGTGCATTTTACATTGTGGAGGGGAAGACAGTTGGGTAACCAATAGCTTACTATTAAGTGCAAAAGACATTAAAGACAGTTGTTTGGACTATCATCAAGATATTACCGGTGAACTTTTTGAATCGTAGTTTAAAAATAACTTATTACCAAATTTAGCAGACAACAGTGTTATTGTTTTAGATAATGCATCATATCATTCTAGACAACTTAAAAAAATTCTGAATAAATACTCTAGAAAGGATGAATTGCAATATTTTTTATTATCACAAGATTAATATTTTGAAGATTGGTACACTAAAGGCCAATTAGTAGAGGTACTTGATACAAAATTATTTGTACAGGAATATATTATTGATAATGCAGCAAGTAAAAATGGACATACAATTTTAAGACTACCAGCATATTACTGTGTTTTAAATCCAATACAGTTATGGTCTCAACTGAAATATAATGTGAGACAAAAAAATGTAAGTACAAAATGTTATAACACTGTCATGAAACTAATAGATTCTGAATTTAAAAATATCTCTAAGGATAACTGGAAAAAAGCAATAGAGCACATAAAAAATATCGAAAAAGAATATTTTAAAACATTGCTGTTCTAAATAAAATTATTATCAATGTGAAGAACAGTCATTCACAGAAAGAAAATGACGAAGTGTAATACCAAGACAACTTTATCTCAATTCTGAGCTTACCCGAAATTGTTTCTTACTTAATCAGGTGTATGGATTATTGACATATGTTCAACACCAAACTACTGCTTCAATTTTTTAGGAAAAACATGGCCTTGTTATGAAAACTTCACTTATTGTTGCAATATCTATATCTTTGAAAATCAGTTCTTAAGAGAAAATAATAATGTGAGCAAGTGTTGACTAGATAAACTTTTAATTTTTACTTCAAGGTTTTATAAATTATTTAAATATATATATTTTTTATCTTTCACTACCAACTGTTCGCTCAATTATTAATTAGTTTTTGTATACAAACCAATTATTGTTTAAACATTTTATAAAAAATGCATTGCAAAAATATGATTAATGTAATTTAAACTTACACAAAATTATCAAGACATAAAATTAGGCTTTGTTTATAATAATACAAATTTATAGAACCAATTTCTTTTAAAATATACCATATTATGTTTCATGTAGGTCAGTACTATCCTGTTCTTTACCAGTCATAGCGCTGCTTATTGCATCTTTCTCAAATAAATATAATGGGCCTATAATATTATAAAGACAAAAAATAATTATATCTGAGTGGCTAGTTTTTAATAGTTCCATCCTAGTCAGTTAGATATCAATGAGTTATAAGAAATATACCAGTACACTTTTATGTACCTTGTTAGGTTTAGAATCATTAACCCATACTACTATTATTTTGGCTTAATGTTTTATCATTTTCCATTCAATCATACTTAAATTAGAAGTAAAAATATAAATATACCTAAACACTTTCATTTTTTATATCTTGTTAAAGCTTTAAAATCCTTAACCCAAATTAGTTCCATTATTTTGGATTCATGTTATTATCACTGTTCAAAAATAATTCAAAACATGTGAGGTTGATAAACTATAATCATTTGTTTGATATAGGTCAACAACTCTGATAATGAGTATTGTATCATAGAATTTATAATAAAATTTGTTATCTTTACAATCTTTAACAGTTTTAAACAATTTAAGTGAAGTTCAGACAAGTCTGATCTCGATATTAGGTTTTTTGATTTAGGAATTTCCTATGACTCATAAATATGGTAATTTTTGGTATTTGTGATAGCATTGATGATAATAAAACTTGTCAGGTCCTGTCAGGTTAAAAATAAAAAACTATTAACTAGTTAGGTAGATTATAAAACTTTCTTGTTTCATATATTATACAGTAAAAAAAGATATTTGTTGCATGATGCTATTACAAATTTTCATCATCTAGATATTTTCATGTATGTCACCAAAACTTTCATAGTCCACAATATTAAATATTCTTATTTCTGTAAAATGCTAATTTATTTAAATTTGTTTTCATTTGACCCACTTCTAGAGCTGATGTAATTAATATTTAAACAAAGAACAGCATGTATAGGTCCTACATATTAATCAGAGAGTGAATAAACACTCAATTATTGTAAACATTAGTATTTGAGTTTTAATGGAGAAAAAATGGATAGCTTTTGAAGAGTTGGTTTTTGAATAGTTTTTGTCACATTTTGAACTTTAGTATCTGTTTCTAAATATATATTCATGTTTGAATAAACAATAAAATAATGGATTTAGTTTGAATAGGTAAATGTTTGGGTAATGATTTTCACATTAAAATACATAAAATTATGTAAAACTGTGCTGTGTGTAAATATATGCTGTGTTTATAAATTTTAAACAGTCCTAAATAAAAAATAATTACTTCTCGAGAGATATTGTAAATATCAAGTTATGATTAAAGTAGAAATATTCTAGTTTCTAGAACTACTAGTTCTAATTTATACTTAAATAATCAAAATAGTTTGGAAAACATTCTAAATTGAATGAATATTTAAAAGAAAACAAACCTTAAGCAAACCTATTATCAAATAATATCCATGCATATGCCTCTATATTCTTTGCTATTATGGACAATGGTCTCCACAATCAAAAATTTCATAATAGAAGTATGTGGGGTCTTTATAATTTCAAAAGAATTAAAATATTTTAACAAAATAACTACTTTAACATGACAGAAAAAATAAAATTGTTTCATAAATTTTTCACATTAGTTTTGCATTGTATGAAATTAGTAATTTTTAAGTTTCATCAGAAAGTGTAGAGAACAGTTCTATGTATGTACAGGGAAGTTTGGTAGAAAACAGTTAAAAGACTTACCTTTATACGTGCTATAAATGCATCCAAGTAGCTGACTGCTACAAAAAAGACTTGTTCTGGGGTATCAAACCATGATTTCAGGAAACGTAGAAGATGTACAATACCATCTCTAGACGTGAGAGTAACCTCCCCTGGTTTAACATTATATTGAATTGCTAATACACTGGGCCTGTAGGAGTTCTCTACAGAAAGTGCTTCCTCGAGATCAAATAGTAATGGTTTGATGTTATACTTAGCACCTGTTAAAGGCCATCCCCTGCTTTTGACCGTTTTTTTCCATGGCTGTTGATTCTTCTTTAATTAGTAGAGACCAGTAACCATTCCACCGCTTTCTTTAGCTTCAGTTAAAAAAAGGGTAACAGCAAAAGTAGGAGAAGGCCTAAAACCTACAACAAAAACTTGTAACCTTTTTCATTCACAAAAAATTATGTCAAAACATTAAGGTCATTTTGTTGCAATGCTTACCAGGATGCCTTGTAGTAAAGCGCTATTTTAGTTTGATTATTCACTTAAGAAGAAAATCAAACTAAAAAATTTATGGTGTATGTACCTCAAGGTTCGACACTCGAAAGGATAGAACAGGGAAATTTTTTTTCCATCGTTTGTTTACAGAACAAAAGAGAAATGCGACGCCATCAGGCGTTTTTTAGTGTTGACACCAATAACGTTTTGCGTGACGTCAGAATATATTTATTTCTTTACCATATATTACCTGAACAATTTAATTATAAACGATTTTGTAACCGGTTCCTTAATAAGTTGAACATGCAAAAGATTAAATATTTATAAACATAAAAAACGCCTCTTCCTTTTAGTTCTGCAATGTTAGTTGCATAAATATAAGCAATGCACGAGTATTGTCAAGTATAATTCACGAAATCAACTAAAATTGTTAAACGCGCACTAGTATTTCTATTTAAAAATAAATTCGCAACTGATTTTAAATATTTATTTGTTAAAAGCGTGGATAATATCTAGATTAGATTGTAATAATAAATATATACCCACGCGAAAAACAAAAAACAAACAATGATAAACATATCACTTTAGTTGCATTATTAGCAGTTTATTTTTATAATTACAAATACAACACAATAAATACAACTTATTTAAGGAGAGTAAGGAATGATAAGTTTCCAAATAAACAATTCAAAATATAAAATATTTAATTCAATAAATGCCATTCATATCTGCGTATTATGGAATAGGTGGTATCAATATAATTATTATAATCGTACTTTCATGTTAATAATGGCATTGATTAATAAAGAATTAAATATGTATGGAATGTGTAAAAGAATATATAAATTAAATATTTTTCAGTGAAAAGGTATTTTGCGAAAACTACAATAATAATTTTCAAAAATAAATCATCCCCTATGAGTAGAAATATTCATCATCTTTGGCTCGACAATCCTTTGTGGATCTTGGCCTGCTCTAAGATTCGTCGCCATTCTGTTCGGTTTTTGGCAACATGTTGCCATCTTCTGATTTTTAATATTCGTAAGTCGGTTTCAAATCCATCTAACCACCTATGTAATTCGCGGTCGGCCTTTGCTTCTTTTTCCTACAGGTGTTCCTGTGGTTAGCTTTTTAGCAATCGTATTTTCTGGCATTCGTATTATGTGTCCAGCCCATCTAAGTCGTTGTGTTTTAATGAACGTTATGACATCTGGCTCATCAAAGAGCTGATACAATTCAAAATTATATCTTCTGCGCCACTGCCCTTGGTCATTTACAGCTCCAAATATTTTGCGGAGTATTTTACGCTCAAATATTCCCAAAAGTCTTTCATCTTTCTGCGTTAGAGTCCATGTTTCTGCTCCATATGTGAGGACCGGCCTCAGCAATGTTTTGTATATCATAATTTTAGTTCTTCTTTGAATGTTTCTTGAGTGGAGATGCTTTTGGAGTCCATAGTATGCCCTATTTGTAAGATTTATTCGTCTTTTGATTTCTTCGCTTGTTTTATTGGTAGCAGTCAATAGCCACCCAAGGTATGTAAAGTTGTCAACACGTCCAAAGGTATGACTTCCAAAGACTGTTTCTCGTTCCTCATTTGCTATCGGATCCTTTGTAACCAACATGCACTTGGTTTTGTCCTCGTTGATGACTAGACCGACCTGTTTCGCCGCTGTTTCCAATTCTAGGAGATATTGCTCAACATCTGGCTTGCTACGCCCTACTATGTCAATGTCATCAGCATATGCTAAGACTTGTATCGATCTATTGTAAATAGTACCGCCATCCCTAATTCGTGTATCTCGGACTGCCTTTTCTAAGGCAATATTAAATAGGAGGCAAGCCAGAGCATCTCCTTGTCTGAGTCCATCCTTTATCTCAAAGGATCTAGAACTCTCTCCCTGTATTCTAACAGTGGCTTCTAAGTTAGACATTGTCATTCTCGTTAGTCGTATAAGTTTCTCTGGTATACCAAACTCATGCATTGATTGGTATAGCACTGTTCTCTTGACACTGTCGTATGCGGCCTTGAAGTCGACGAATAGGTGATGGGTTTCAATATTGAATTCTAATGTTTTCTCGAGAATCTGTACTTATTGAATGAATCTGGTCAATTGTTGATTTTTCTGGAGTGAATCCAGCTTATATTTACCAACTATGCCCACTGTGTAAACTTGCAGTCTTTCGTAGAGAATATTTGCTAGTATTTTGTAAGCAGTTGTTAACAGGGTTATACCTCTATAGTTGTCACACTGGAGCTGGTCATCTTTTTTATGTAATGGGCATATCACGCCTTGAGACCACTCACAAGGCATGGTCTCATTATGCCAAACAAGAAGTAAAAGCTTATGCAGTGTCTGTAGTAGGGCATCGCGACCATTCTTGTAGAGCTCACTGCAAATTTGATCAACTCCTGGTGATTTATTGTTTTTAAGCTTTTTAATGGCTTGGTAGGTGGTCTTTCGTTTGGGTTGAAAGGAGTCCAATCATTTCGATTTGCTAGGGTGTTATCTGCTTCTTCGATATGATGGCCATTAAATTGTAGAGTATGAGTAGTAGTATGAGTGGAAATATTGTTATCTATAAATAATTTGGTGTATATGATTTCATAATTTCTTTAATAGGATATCCTATTTTTTTTTCAGTTTTGTATTTTATACTGTTATGACTAATTATACACACGTATCTTTTAATTGCTTTTTGCCGTGTGAGTTTGGCCTGGGTTGTATTTGGAAAACTGGGGTACGTTCTAAAATCGGATATGTCTATTTATCTTAAAAAAATATTAGTGCATATTACCTGTGCATTTGGACCTGCTACTGGATGCAGCTAAGGTAGTATGAGGAACAAGTAGAAATACTTAACAAAGAAACAGACAGCATGGTGGTCCGAAGAAATAAAAAAGCAAGTAAAAGTGAATAAAAAAGAATAACTGAAGGAAAAACAAATGGGAAGTTCAATAAATATAAAAATGAAAGAAAAAAAGGTAAAAATATTGGTAATAGCAGCAAAGAGAGACAATTTTGAAAAGTTCGGAGAGAAAATGGAAAAATATAGCAAAAGTAACCAAAAGCTATTCCACAAAACTCTGAAAATGATAAGAACACAAAAAACATGAAATATACAGCATTAAAAATAAAAATGGATAGTTAATAACGAAAACAAAAAAATAGTTAAAAGATGGAAACAACACTTCGAAGAAATGCTAAAGGATATAAACCAAGACGACATTAATGAAGAACAAAATAATATATTGGAAGATAACACAGAAAACTCAGTAAAGAATCAGAAGAAGCAATAAAAACTTGAAGTATGGAAAAGCTCCTGGAGTGGATAGAATACCTAACATCATAAATTATAAAAAACAAGGGGAAAAATCTAGAGCAAATATTACTACAAATAATGAATAAAATATGGAAATGTAGATATACCGAAAGATTGGAAAGTGTCACTAATAGTACTCATAGATATACAAAAAAGAAAATAGGAGATAATGTAATAACTACAGAGGATTGATGTTGCTATATACATGTATGAAACTTGAAAAAAATAATAAACAAACGAATAAAAACAATAACAGAACACACATTAGACCAAGCACAAAGTGGATTTAGAAGTGGTAGGAGTATACAGGATCATATATTTACTTTACAACAAAATATACGTAGTATTCCTTCAGATAGAAAGAGCCTTCGATAAAGTACCAAGACCAAAAACTATCAAAAATATTAAGAAAAAAAGAAATGGACAACAAGTTACTAAGAATGATACAAAAAATATACAATTCAGATACGTTTACAATACAGGAAGGAGCACTTAGCCCAATACTATTTATAATATTTACGGACGAAATTATTAAGACATTCACAACAAGAAGTAAAAAATTGAGTATAGGGTTAAGACATCTAGAAAGCGTAGAAATCTCGGAAGGAGTATTTGCTGACGATTTAGTGCTAATTGCAAGGCTACAAGGACCTTACGAAGGCATAACTATACAATTCCACCAGTGAGAACAAAAAACAAAAAAAATTTACGAAAAGCCCACTAGAAAAAGCCGAAACATTTGTAACACACACAGGAAGGGAACCAGAAAATGTACAGTCCTCCCGTTCTATTAATCTTCTTCCAGTGGTTTCTAAAGTTTTTAAAAAGCTGACACTTACTAGGCTAATGCCTATAATAGAAAACAAAAAACTAATATCATCACAGCAATTTGGGTTAATAAAACAACATTCAACAATACAACAGGTACTTACATAGAGTTGGAGAGAGAATCAATGAAGACTTTTAAAATAATATGTACAGCTCAGCGGTATTCCTGGACATAAGCCAGGCATTTTATAAAGTATGGCATAAAGGTCCCTAGGACCCATATTATACCTTATATTCACTGCTGACCTATCGACAGATACATATATGACCACAGTCACTTTTGCGGATGATATGGCAATACTATAATCTAACAAAAGTCCCAAAAAGGCCTCAGAACTGCTACAAAATAACTTAAATAAAATAAAACAGTGGATGAAATAATAGAGAGTCAATATATGTAGATCGTTTTTGGTAGATACAGGTGCAACAAGAGCTATTGCACGTCCAGAAGTTGTACGAGGCCATCTTAAATTATCGCCTGCAACAGTAAAGCTTAGAACAGCAATTGGTGAGATAATTAATACATATGGCGAGGTTAATATGTCAGTATTCATTGGCCAGACAGCAGTGAGACATAGAGAATTAATTGCAGAGATTTCCGACGAGTTCATATTGGGGATGGATTTACTAAGGAAAGTTGGGGCTGTATTGAATATCACAGATGAAGTTCTCGAGATTCGTGGTGAAGAGTTGCCGTTTCATGAAGACAAAGAAGATGTTATCAGCTTAATAACTACTTATGACGTAACAATACCCGGTAATAGTTTAAGGTCTGGTCATTTTGATGACCAGACCTTACGGTTACTGCCGAAAGGGAAGTTTAAGGATGGTCGAAGATGTGAGCAATGCCGAGTTCTTAAGGGCAAAAGCTTTGTGGAGAATTCGAGATGTCGTTCCTGTAAGAGTTATGAATTTAAAGGGAACTGCTATTAACTTAAGTAAAAGAACTTTGATCGGATAGTGTGTTCCCGTGGCTTCGATTTGTTCTATGAATACTAGTCAAAAACCATCGAAATCTAAGTATCCAAAGGAGCTTGTTAAGATGGTGATTAAAACGTGCTAAGATATTGATGATGAACGAACTAAAAAAGTGAAGTTTATGCTGATAGAATTTCAAGATGTTTTTGCCATTAATAAGAATGATAAGGGCAAAACAAGCATAGTAAAGCATAAAATTAATACTGGAGACGCTCAGCCAATCAGACAACAATTTAGACGATTTCCATTTGCGAAAAGAGATAAAGCCGAAGACATCATCAAAGATATGAACAAACAAGGGGTAATCGAACCATCAAACAGTCCATGGAGATCACCAGTAGTGCTAGTAAAGAAGAAAGATGGTTCAACGCGTTTTTGTGTTGACTACCAACAGCTCAATGCGGTAACTAAAAAAGATAGTTATCCTTTGCCCAGAATAGACGATACTTTGGATACTCTTTCTAGTTCTCGTTGATTCTCCACACGCGATCTGAAACGTGGATATTGGCAAGTGGACATAGTCAGGAAAATTTCAAGATGGCCGTGGAGTGCGAATTGTAATCACTGTCTTAAATTAGAAGAACGACTTTGCCCCGTGAGACGAACCACCATCATTAATGATCAATGGCAGCCTCAACAGCTACAAGACGGTCAAAACAGATGATCCATGTATAAAAAGAGTATTGGATTGGATGCGTCGAAGTGAAAGGCCTTCTTGGCAAGTCATTAGTGCATGTAGTCCTAAAGTCAAGTGTTACTGGAGCTAATGGAATTGCCTAGTGCTAAAAGATGATCTTCTTCTGTATACAACCTTTGAGAAAGATGATGGTACAGAAACTAAGCCTCAGTTGATTGTACCTAAAAGTAAAGTGTCAGAAGTATTGCGTCAGTTGCATGACGGTGCATCAGCTGGGCATTTTGGTTTTACGAAGACTCTGCAAAAGGTTCGAGAACGGTTCTATTGGTTAAACTGTAAAGATGATGTAAGAAGATGGTGCCGGAAATGTGAACTGTGTGCAAACAGTAATGGCCCAGTTGGTAAAAAGAGGACACAGATGAAATAGTATAATGTTGAAAGTCCTATGTAAAGAGTAGCAATCGACATTGCAGGTCCAGTTCCAGAGACGAATGATGGAAATAAATACATCCTGGTAGCCATGGATTATTTTACGAAATGGACTGAGCGCTATGCGATATCAAATCAAGAAACTGCTACGGTTACAGAGGTACTTGTTAAAGAATTCTTTAGCCGATTTGGTGTTCCCTTGGAGATCCACTCCGACCAAGGGCGAAACTTCGAGTCACCCCTTTTCCAAAACGTTTGTAAATTGATTGGTTTCAATAAGACTAGAACGACACCCCTGCATCCTCAATCAGATGTAATGGTCGAGAAAATGAACCGAACGATGGGTAAACACCTGTCCAAAGTTGTATCAGAACATCAAAGAGATTGAGACCAGCACATTCATTTATTCCTAATGGCCCACCGCTCGGCCGTGAATGAAACTATAGACCAGACTCCAAACTGCCTGATGTTAGGTCGTAAAGTTCGTTTGCCATGTGACCTAGAGTTTGATTGCAGACCTTCCGAAGAACATGCTGCAAGCGAAGATTATGTCGACCGGTTGAAGTTAAGAATGAACGACATTCATGAACTTGCCCAATAACACATCTAGTTAGTCAGTGACCGAATGAAAGATCAATATGATTCTCGATGCAAGAATGAAAGCTATGAAGTGGGTGATCTTGTTTGGCTTTATAATCCACAACTTCCTCGAAGCTTGTCTCCTAAATTGCAAAGACAATGGGAAGGTCCGTATGAAATTAAAAGGAGAATAAATGACGTAATATACCGAATTAAGAAGTTGCCGAAAGGTAAACCGAAAGTAGTTCATATAAATCGTCTTGCACCATATGCTGGCTCAAATGAAACAGAAGAAGCACGAACCCTTCAACATGAGATCAAAGATGACCGGCGACCAAGCTTTAATGAATTTATGTCAAATTACGCAGAGAGAAAGAGTGCTAGATTCGGCGTGACCACAGAAATTCAGCAGGATCTTTTTAGTGTTTCGCATAACGTTTCTCTAGCCCACTGTGTTGCCCAAGATCTTGATACGACTAAAGGGATCGCATCCGTATTTTATAAGAAGTTCGTTCATTTGGACGAGTTAAAAAATCATAA